CTTTTGTGTAAATTCACTTTATCGGTTTTATTTTGATAAACATGACAATACGCTATAGCATTAATATAACCCTATTAAAGCACATGAAATGTTGGTTAATTAGCGGCGCCAGACTGAAACTGACCGACACGAGAGTCTCGATAATAACTTTAATAACAACAACAGACATTATTTTTACATTCTCCGATAAGCAGTGAGAAATGAAGAGCATCACAAACATAAGGCATCGTTCGTCCATCCGTCAGACTCCTGAAGAAGCAGCGAAACACTCTCAAATCAGAGGAAACACGACTCCTCTGGACGACGAGACGCAGGTCCCAAGAAAAGATTCACACGAATCAGTCTGGATTACGAACAGAATCGGTTCAATCAGCTCCACAGAGGCCCGAATCTCTCTCAGAAACAGTTAGTTTGTAAAAACTCCCAAATCACTGACTGAGGAAGACCATGATAGTGAAGACGAGGCTAAAATTAGTCCATTTAACGCCGGGTCCGTCTCAAATGCTTGAATTCACTACTAAATGATGTGACATGCAGCTGCCGTGACGCAAAACCAGATGTTTGTCTTGTTTTACAATAAAAAAATATATATATTTATATAAATACACACACATATATATCTATATATATATAAGCAGAATTGAAGATAAGATTTGTTTTCAAAAATATATTTTAAATCACATTTATCTTGTAATGATTTAAACATAATTTTTTTGTTGTTGTTGCTTAAAACAGGAAAAACCCATTTAGCGTAAAATATATTTGCTGAGAACAAAACTTTGTCTTAAAATAAGATTCAATTTGTTTACATCAACATTTCATCAACTAAAAATTATATTTATAGTATTAATTACAGATAATAATATAAATAATAATAATAATAGTATGAAAATAATATAAATTATGTTATTTCATACCCATTCCTAATACATTATTGTTCATTTAAAAAATTGTAAATGTATATATATTAAAAATGTATATGCATAAATTCATATTAAGTTTGATTAATAAATGCTGTAAAAATATTGTTATTTGTTAGTTCATGCTAGCTTAATGTAAAGCGTGACCATTCTCAAACAGCTCGCATTAGTTAATGCAATAACTGATATGAACTAGCAGTGAGCAATATATTTTTTACAACATTTAATAATCTGTGTTATGGAAGGTCCTTTCCGCCAAAGGATAAAAAAACGAAAAACAATTTGGACCTTTTTTCAGAATTGTGAGATAAAAATGCATAATTGCGAAAAAAAAAAAAAAAGTACGAATTATAAGATATAAACTCGCAATTGCAAGAAAAAAGTCTGAATAGTGAGATAAAAAGTCGCAGTTACCTTTATTATTTACTCGGTGGTGGAAACAAAATAATTGTGAAACATAACTCAAAATTCCAAGGAAAAAAACTTTCGAATTGTGAGATATAAACTCAGAATTGCGGGAAAAAAGTCTGAATTACCTGACAAACTTGGAATTGTGAAGTCTAAACTGTCGGATATAAACTAAGAATTGTGAGAAAAAAGTCTAAACTGTCGGATATAAACTCGGAAAAAAAAGTCAAAACTGTCGGATATAAACTTGGAAAAAAAGTCTAAACTGTTGGATATAAACTAAGAATTGTGAGAGAAAAAAGTCTAAACTGTCGGATATAAACTCGGAAAAAAAGTCTAAACTGTCGGATATAAACTCGGGAAAAAAAAGTCTAAAGTGTCGGATATAAACTCGGAAAAAAAGTCTAAACTGTCGGATATAAACTAAGAATTGTGAGAAAAAAGTCTAAACTGACGGATGTAAACTCGGGAAAAAAAAGTCTAAACTGTGGGATATAAACGAAGAATTGTGAGAAAAAAGTCTAAACTGTCAGATATAAACTCGGAAAAAAAGTCTAAACTGTCGGATATAAACTCGGAAAAAAAGTCAAAACTGTCGGATATAAACTCGGAATTGCGAGAGAAAAAGATAAAACTGTCGGATATAAACTCGGAATTGCGAGAAAAAAAGTCTAAACTGTCGGATATAAACTCGGAATTGTGAGAAAAAAAGAAAAAAAAAAAGTCTAAACTGTCGGATATAAACTAAGAATTGTGAGAAAAAAGTCTAAACTGACGGATATAAACTCGGGAAAAAAAAGTCTAAACTGTGGGATATAAACGAAGAATTGTGAGAAAAAAGTCTAAACTGTCAGATATAAACTCGGAAAAAAAGTCTAAACTGTCGGATATAAACTCGGAAAAAAAGTCAAAACTGTCGGATATAAACTCGGAATTGCGAGAGAAAAAGATAAAACTGTCGGATATAAACTCGGAATTGCGAGAAAAAAAGACTAAACTGTCGGATATAAACTCGGAATTGCGAGAAAAAAGTTTCAACTGTCGGATATAAACTCTGGGAAAAAAAAGTCTAAACTGTTGGATATAAACTCAGGGAAAAAAAGTCTAAACTGTCGGATATAAACTCGGAATTGCGAGAAAAAAGTTTAAACTGTCGGATATAAACTCGGGGAAAAAAAAGTCTAAACTGTCGGATATAAACTCGGAATTGTGAGAAAAAAAGGTAAAACTGTCGAATATAAACTCGGAATTGTGAGAAAGTCTAAACTGTCGGATATAAACTCAGAATTGTGAGAAAAAAAGTCTAAACTGTCGGATATAAACTCTGGAAAAAAAAGTCTAAACTGTCGGATATAAACTAAGAATTGTGAGAAAAAAGTCTAAATTGTCGGATATAAACTCTGAAAAAAAGTCTAAACTGTCGGATATAAACTCGGAAAAAAAGTCTAAACTGTCGGATATAAATTCGGAATTGTGAGAAAAAAGTCTAAACTGACGGATATAAACTCGGGAAAAAAAAGTCTAAACTGTGGGATATAAACGAAGAATTGTGAGAAAAAAGTCTAAACTGTCAGATATAAACTCGGAAAAAAAGTCTAAACTGTCGGATATAAACTCGGAATTGCGAGAAAAAAAGTCTAAACTGTCGGATATAAACTCGGAATTG